GCCCAGAATATAAATATGAACAAGAGGTGGTTCTTGCCCTTTAGGGAGCTCAACCACCACCATGGGAGACAGACATAGGAATGACTGCCAGTAACCAGCCCTGAATTTCATACAATTAATTATACCTAACAGAGTGCTTTCACTTTTTATGGACTTTCCTAGCAACCATCTGCAGAAGTATCATTATCTCCGGTGAGAAACGGGAGTCTCTATGAGGTTCAAGTGACTCTCTGGGCAAGCACATCAAAGTTCTTCAGTTCCCTAACCTTTAATTATTTTTTTTTTTATTTTTTTTCAATGTTTATTTATTTTTGGGACAGAGAGAGACAGAGCATGAACGGGGGAGGGGCAGAGAGAGAGGGAGACACAGAATCGGAAACAGGCTCCAGGCTACGAGCCATCAGCCCAGAGCCCGACGCGGGGCTCAAACTCACAGACCGCGAGATCGTGACCTGGCTGAAGTCGGACGCTCAACCGACTGCGCCACCCAGGCGCCCCCCTAACCTTTAATTAGATGCTCTTCTGGAGTGTGAAGCTAGGCTGTACTTGTCAGAACATACACCAGGATTTGTCTTTTTGTTATACTTGTCTGAATCCAGGAACTTCAGTATAGTGAGGAAGATAAGCAGAGGAACTACACAGAAAATGATGTACTAATTGTTACAGTTCTGTATTTGGAGAACTTTGAGTTCTGAAGGGACTAAAGAAGCAATTCAAGTCTTTAGCTTGAAATTAAAGGGATCGCAACTCAGAATCAAGGATTGCCTAGCAACGGCCTCTCTTTTCTGCATTAGCAAAATGCTGCCCATGATGTATAAAACAGTCATATTCACTGGAGCAGAACAGGAACTTTTCTTGTTTTGGCTTCAAACTTTTATTTTCTATCAGGTTTTGTTGTTTTTTTCCTGCCTCATGTGGCTCTCTGGGTAGAAAACCATTTTTTAGACTACTGAAAAGTCTGGGTTTTTTTCTCTTAACCCCTAAAAGGCTATCAAAAGTTTCCACCTTAGCAACAGGACAGCTAAAGTTTCCGCTTCAGCAACAAACTCAGAGGTCTCCCCATACAGGTTCCAAAGTCACAGGGAAACAGGAGGAAGCAATTAGCTCATTATTGATTGTGAAAATCTGGCCAAAAAAAAAAAAAAAAAGGGAAGGGAAATTCCCCATGAACTTGGCAAAGCACTTAACCAAGCTTTTAACAACTGCAGTAGTGCCCATTTTTAAGTTGTATTTCTCTAGAGTAATAATAAAAACAAGTGGTTAACTAACATGTACTTGGTGCTTAGGATGTTCCAAGCACTCTACTAAGCACTTTACCCCCTTGTACATCAACCTTGTGAGGCATGTACCAGCATGTCGCTTTTAAATTTTTTTTTTTTTTAACGTTTATTTATTTTTGAGACAGAGAGAGGCAGAGCATGAACGGGGGAGGGTCAGAGAGAGAGGGAGGGCGACACAGAATCGGAAGCAGGCTCCAGGTTCTGGGCCATCTTCAGCCCAGAGCCCGACGCGGGGCTCGAACTCACGGACCGTGAGATCGTGACCTGAGCTGAAGTCGGACGCTCAACCGACTGAGCCACCCAGGCGCCCCATCATGTCGCTTTTAATGATGTGGAAATTGAGGCTCAGGAAAGCTAAACAACTTGCCTAGAGTCACACAGGTAGGAAGTAGTGCTTACAGGCAAATCCAGGTCTGTCCAACTCTGAAGCCCCATATTCTGGGTGCTTGATTTATTTTTTAAACAATATTTATTTATTTTTGAGAGAGAGAAAGAGACACAGAGCATGAACACTGGATGGGCACGTAAACACAGAATCCGAAGCAGGCTCCAGGCTCTGAGCTGTCAGCTCGAACCCACAAGCCGTGGCATCATGACCTGAGCCAAAGTCGGACACTCAACTGACTGAGCCACCCAGGCACCTCTGGGTGCTTGATTTAAATTTTTGTTTTTAGAAGTCAATTCCATAAATTTGTTCATAAATCTGAGTGATTTTCTAGGTGTTCGTGAAATCACAGAATTCAAGAACACAAAAAGCCTTGCTTTCTCTGGACACATAATCATTCCCATCTCAATGCAAACTGGGAAATGTCCCCAGTACTTTGTCTCCTCATCCACTCCTCACTCCATCCAATTCAAATTCATAATACCAGGACTGGAGAATTGCATCAGTATTTTTTTCCAATGTTTTTTAGATTTACTTTGAAAGAGAGAGAGAATCCCAAGCAGGCTCTGCATTCCTCAGTGTGGGGCTTAAATTCATGAACAGTGAGATCATGATCAGAGTCGAAATCAAGAGTCAGATGCTTAATCAACTGAGCCACCCAGGCACCCCTGTAACCTTAACAGTATTATTAAAGATACAGGGGCTGTCATTCACTGCTGTTGGTAGTGCATATGGTAAACTTTTCTGGAGGGCAACTCGGCAATATGTATCAAATGCCTAAAGAGGAATTTAAGCCTGCATAGGCACTTCTAGGAATTTATCCTAAGTAGATTATAGGGGACAGATTTGCATAAATATCTGTCAATAAAAGTGTCTACTGCAATTTTATAATAGAAGGGAAAAAGGAAGCAACATAATTGTCAAATACTAATGTTGGTAAATAAAATTATTGTAGTTCTTTATACAAATCTATAAAAATAGCCACTGAAAATTCTGTAGAGGAAAAATGACATAGGAAAAGTAACGGAATTACAGTCACAAAATATTATCTCCATTAAAGTGTAAAGTGTGTACATATACATCAGAATGCTAAGTGTTTAATTTAAAAAATGGAATTGTGGGTGATTTTTATTTTACTATTTGTTTTTCCTATGTTCTTCAGTTTTCTTCAATCACATTTCTTTCATAATTCTAAAACCATTGGTGAAGAAATAGAAAATAAAAACAAAAACAAAACTTATCTAGGTACAGCCTCTCCTGCTAAAAGTGAGTTTTCCCCTGTCTCAGGGTTCCAGCAAAATCAAACCTTCTAGTCTTTTGAGTGACACAAAATAACTTCTAAAAATTTTCTAAAATAACTTCTAAAAATTTTAGAAGTTAAGTCGCCTGGGTGGTTCAGTCAGTTGGACGTCCAACTTCAGCTCAGGGCATGATCTCGAGGTTCATGAGTTCGAGCCCCACATCGGACTCTCTGCTGTTGACTCAGAGCCCGCTTCAGATCCTCCCCCCCCTCTCTGCCCCTTCCCCTCTCACTCTCAAAAAATAAACTAAAAAATAAATAAATAAGTGCACTGAAACCATAAACATGTTTCCCAACAGACTGACTTTTCCAAAGGCAAGGACATGGTCATCCCCATCTCTGGAATCCCACACCTAGTGCAATGCTTATAACTGACAGAGGCCCAATAAATATTAGAAATGAATAATCTGTTTGAAATGGATGGAATCTATCCTACCAGACTGCTACCCAAAAGTTGGGTCAGTCATACAGTAACAAAATCTTTCTCTGTGGAACTGAAATGACAACTTGGCATGTCTCATAGAGCTGAAATGACAACTTAGATATCCATCACTGTGGCTGGCCAACCCCCGTGCTATGGAATGTTCTACAGCAGTAAACAATGAGGTGAATCTTTACACACTGATCCGGAAAACGCTCCGTGATATGTTATTACTTTCAAAAAAAAAAAAAGAGGGAGAAAATGCAAGCTGCAAACAAACTTCATTATACAACATTTTATCATTTAAAAAGAAAGCAAAAGCTACAGATTTCAACAAATGTCCATAAATGCCCAGGAGGAGGCCTGGAAGGTTACACACCACACTGTTAACAGTAGATAATTCCAGAAAGAGTGAGGCTGAGCATGGTATCAGAGGGATTTATTTCTCCTTATTTCTACCAAGGTCTCCATACGAAGACTGAACAGTCCACAAAAGGAAGAAACATAGACCTCTCCCTGATACTACCAGTAGATGTGTTTATCTTCCAAGTACAGACACCTGACTACCCTGCCTCCCTAAGCATCATGAAAAATGTAGGGAAAGGAACAGGTAAGAGTTCCTTAAACAAGTCCTGGCCGTTACAGCCAGGACCTTCTAGGGAACCTTCTGCGAAGGGAGGCTAGGAGTCGATTTCGGAAGAGGGAGGATACAGGAGACCGATTTTCCACATTTAAGAAAAGTGCGCTCAGGTCAACAAAACGGGGGTGGGGGTGGGGCAGGTTGAAAAAAGAAAAGTGAGCTCTCCAAGCGCTGTGCACACTTCCATTAGGCTACGAAGTACACAGAAGGGAGGGAGGAGCGCCAAACCTGCCCAAGATACTTTAATTCTGACAGAAGCGGGAAAAAAGAAGATATACAAGATTTAAAGGAACGGAAACATGAGGTGATGCATTTATGCTCAGTTGATCACAGCCTCATAGATAAAAGTGTCTTTTGCGTGCAGCGCTTTCCATTTTGGAATATTCTGTCTCAGAAAAATGGGTCTTAGAGTAAGGGGTCCAGGCCAAGTTCTGTTATCTCTGTCCCACCAGCGAAGATCTGTCTTGGTGTCTTTAAGGTGAAACGAAGGTGGGGGTGGACCAAGCCTGAAGCGTAGCCATTCTGGATTTCTATCCGAAGCCTAAGCAGTTCAATACCAACCAGCAAGCGAGAGCCTCTTCCGCGTGGCTGCGGAGGGGATGCCGGTCATTCCTGCTCCTCGGCCGGGGCTCCCCTGGTGACCGGAGTAAGGGGACCGACTGCGGGACTGTCCGGGTGCTCACTTGCACCGGGCACGAGTCACTCCCGACACCGGCAGTCCGGCATCCAGCGCTGAGGCCGGAAAGGTCCCGGAACGCACCGGGGCGCGCGCCGGGCCCCATGACGTGGCCCAATCCCGGGCCGGCGTCGGCCGTTTCCCACCCCCAACTGGCGGACTGGCCCCTCGGCAGCCTCCGGCCTGAAGCCGGCGACGGAGGAGGGGGCGGGCCTAGGACGTGGCCCAATGGGAGCGCGCGCCGCGGCGATGGGGGCGGGGCCCGGCGCGCGGCGCAGGGCCGGGCGGCCGAGGCTCCAATGAGCGCGCGCCGCGTCCGGGGCCGGCTGGTGCGCGAGACGCCGCGGAGAGATTGGTGGCTAATGTAACAGTTTGCAAACCGAGGGGAGTTGTGAAGGGCGCGGGCTTGGGGGCGCCCTGCCGGCCTCGTGGGTACGTCCGCCGCCGCGTTTGTCCCAGAGCTGGGGCCGCAGGAGCGCAGGCAAGCGGTAACGGGGTTGGGGATGGCGATGGGAGCCGGCCACCCCTCCTAGGAGAGGCAACGTGCTAGCTCCGGGGGCGGGTCGGTAGCGGGAGCAAGGGCCGCACGGACGCCGGTGCGCTTGACCCCGCAGCTCGGTCCCGGGGCGCCCCCACGCTTTAGGGGAGGGCCGGGCCGCGTTTCCGGGGGTGGGAGCCGCCGCCTTCGCCAGGTGACGCTTAGGTGAACTCGGGGGACTCGGTACCTGCCCGGCGAGGAATCTTACCGTTGCAGGCACGGCGTCTGTGTAGGCAGCGGGGCGGGGGGTTGGGATGGAGAACGGGCGGCGGGCGGGACAACCCGAAAGGATACCGAGGAGGAGACAGGCCCTTCTAACATCCCAGCCTCCAACGTCACCACTTCTCAGTTCCCGTCCAGGCCCGGCCTGGCTTTCCCCGCCAGCGGGGGAGCTGCAGGTGTAGGGAGGCAGTTGAGCCCTGGGCGGGGATCCCTGGCCGCACCCCAGGTGTCTAACAGCAGGGGCAGTGCTAGGGTGAGCCAGTTACAGCCTATGCCGTGGACGGAAGGCTCTGGTCTCCTTTCTCCTGTCCCGGTACCTTCCCTGTTTAGGGATGTGGTGGATGGAGCCCAGGACCCTTTGTGTGATTAGAGTGCTGGGTCCTTATCAGGAGGGCGGGGAGGGGGATGTAGGCCCCTTTGCCCTACCTAGGGACGGTGGAGTATGAATCTTAAAGCTTCTCTGTTCTGGGATGAGTTTCTGTCTTCTTCACTCAGGGCATCCGGTTACAAGTGTTGTTTTTCTCCTCCCTCAGAGGCACAATGGCAGCCACCGTCAGGAGGCAGAGGCCGAGGAGGCTAGCCTGTTGGCTCTTGATGGCTGTGCTCTTGGCAGATCTGTTGGCACTGAGTGGTATGTACCCCAGTAGTGGGCTCAAAAGAAGAATTGATGAATGAACTATGGTGGGAGAGGAGGCTTTTAGTTGGAAGTTGGACTCTTGAGTTGCTGAACCTAGGGTTTTATCTTTGCTATCTGTCCTTCTCTTTGGAGGGTGAAGTGCTTTGGTTAGAGGGGACTCAGGAGTGTTGGGGAACAGGGGGTAATCAACAAATCTCTTTCTTTTTCAGACACGCTGGCAGTGATGTCTGTGGACCTGGGCAGCGAGTCCATGAAGGTGGCCATTGTCAAACCCGGAGTGCCCATGGAAATTGTCTTGAACAAGTGAGGGCGGCCCCAGTGTCAGGGGTGGGGGAAGAGGGAAGTCTGTGCTCCAAGCCCGTGTGTGTTCTTGCGAGGGCCCACAACAGGCTGGTGTCTAAGTGATTGTATTTGGGGTGTTGAGGCTCCTGAATCCACATCCTGCTGTAGGCACCTGGGCCCTGTGTCTCTTTTTTTCAGGGAATCCCGGAGGAAAACCCCAGTGACTGTGACCCTGAAAGAAAACGAAAGATTCTTTGGAGACAGTGCAGCAAGCATGGTGAGCTAACAGCCCACCCCTTTCCTATAAACGATGGGCAGAAAAGAGATGTCAGACCCCAGAGCCTGTTCTCTTACCAGCCTCTGATGTGAGAGGTAGGTGATGGCGGACTTGGGAACCTCACGCCATATTCCTTATTTACCTGTTCTCAGGCCATCAAGAATCCAAAGGCGACACTGCGTTACTTCCAGCACCTCTTGGGGAAGCAGGAGGGAAACCCCCATGTGGCCCTTTACAGAGCCCGTTTTCCAGAGCATGAGCTAGGCTTCGACCCACAGAGGCAGACTGTGCACTTCCAGATCAGTCCGTGAGTGTTGTGCTGGGGACAGTGGGCTCAGTGGGTCTGATGGGCTCCCCTGCTCATGGTTGTCCTTGCCTTTAACTCATCCCCTCCCCACAGGCAGCTACAGTTCTCACCTGAGGAGGTACTCGGCATGGTTCTCAATTACTCACGTTCCCTGGCTGAAGATTTTGCAGGTGAGTGGCTAAGGTGGGGCCAGCGGTGGCCAGGTTCCCTAGGGTCTCAGTGGGACAGTTTTGCCTCCCAGGGAACAGCCAGCCATATTTGAAGACATCTTTGGTTGTCACAACTGGGGAGCTGCTACTGGCATCTAACGAGCAGAAGCCAGGGATGCTGCCCGAGATCCTACAATGCACAGAATAGCCCCACACAGCAAAGAGTTACTTGGCCCAGAAGGTCACTAGTAGCAAGACTCGGAAAGGGTCGTCTGAGTATGGAGCTGGTGGGAACCCTGGTCTGTTGCCCTCTGTAGAACAGCCCATCAAGGATGCAGTGATCACCGTGCCAGCCTTCTTCAATCAGGCCGAGCGCCGAGCTGTGCTGCAGGCGGCTCGCATGGCTGGCCTCAAAGTGCTACAGCTCATCAATGACAACACCGCCACCGCCCTCAGCTACGGCGTCTTCCGCCGGAAAGATATCAACACCACTGCCCAGGTGAGCTGGGGAGGAACTTCTCACCGGACTTGGAGGCTGGCTGGCTGTGACGATGGAGACCACTTGACTCTGTTTTGCATCTCGTTTGCACGACTAGCCCTTGACAAAATGCAACACCAGGCCCCTCTCAGCCAGCGTTGGGGCTTTTTGGCTTTCAGTGGAGAGTCGATACAGCACCTTGGAGTTAGAGAAGGTTTCCGTGACAGTTGTCTCGGTGTCTCCACAGAATGTCATGTTCTATGACATGGGCTCTGGCAGCACCGTGTGCACCATTGTCACCTACCAGACGGTGAAGACTAAGGAGGCGGGGATGCAGCCACAGCTGCAGATCCGGGGAGTGGGGTAAGTGGGTACTTGCTGAGACACCCTCGGGTCGGGGGTTTCTTCTTGGAGGGGCAGCTGCCTCCTTTTCCTGCTCCCTGCATGAATGTTCTCCTGAAGCATCGGTCCCTGTAGGGTACCTCTTGGAAGAACCGGGGGAAGATGGAGAGAGAAGGGGACAGTTTGGGGAGACAGCCTGTGGGTCGAAGCCTAGCTCATGCTCTGGAAAATGGGCTCTGTAAAGGGCCACATGGGGGTTTCCCTCCTGCTTCCCCAAACTGGGAAGGCAGGGAACTTACCGAGAGCTATTACTTAGGAAATCCGTGGGGCTACTGACCATGCGCAGTGTCAGATGCGGTCATTTGCTTGTTCTTGTCACTTTCAGCGTACTTACTGGTGACGTGGTCTGGTTTTCTGAGCCGTTCTTTTCTGTGCAGCTCTTCCTCCACCACTCTAGGCCCAGCTTCCATCATCTCTGACCTGCAGGGTTACGATAGAAGGTCTCCCTGTCTTCGCTGTGGCCCCCCTTCAGTTCTTTCTCCATGTTGTAGCCAGAAGGTTGTTTCCAAAATGCCAATGATTATAGTCTATTTCTTTAAAAGCCTTCAGTGGCAGGGTGCCTGGATGGCTTAGTCGGTTGAACGTCGGACTCTTGATTTTGGCTCTGGAGCCTGCTTGAGATTCTCTCTCTGCCCCTCTCCCCTGCTCTCACACGTGCCCGCATTCTCACCAGCTTTCTCTTTCAAAGGAAAAAAAAAAAAAACCTTAGTGGTCCCAGACCTTTATTGTGGCCTGTGAGAGCTCTGACTCCTCCCTTTTGTCTCTACCCAGAGCCTTTGCTTTTTGAGTTCTACCATGCCTGTCCTTTGGAACTTATTCATTGGGCTGTTTCTCACCTCAGGGTCTTTATGCACACTGGTCCCTCCATCTAGGGTTGTTTTCTCTTCAACCCATTAACTCCACTCAATCCTGCAGGTCTCAGCTCAGGCATCACATCTCCACAGAACTTTCTATGGCGTCTGTAAATAGGGGGCATTTCCCTTCTACGTCTTCTAACGCTGTTGTATGTCTCCCTCATAACTCGGGGTGGTTGGCATTTTTTTTCATGTAATTGTTCGATGCTAGACTGTAAGCTCCTTGACAGCAGGTTCCCTGTCTCTTTGCTGTTAATTGCATCTCCAGAGACAAACAGATAGTCAATGCCCAGTAAGTACGGTGGATTGGATACGCACGTGAACTGCCACTGAGGTGTCAGCCACGTGGGAGGAAGGTGAGGTTCCTAGGTCGATGAAGGGACACTGTGTGTTCCTCACGCTTTTTCTCTTTTCCCTGGATAGATTTGACCGCACCCTGGGGGGCTTGGAGATGGAACTCCGGCTGCGTGAGCACCTGGCAAGGCTTTTCAACAAACAGCGGAAGGGCCAGGGAGCTAAGGATGTGCGGGAGAACCCCCGTGCCATGGCCAAGCTGCTACGGGAGGCGAATCGACTCAAAACCGTCCTGAGTGCCAACGCTGATCACATGGCACAGGTGCCCACTCATGGCTGGTCGAGGGCAAATATTCTCCATCCTGAGCTAGGCCCCTGGTGTGCGGTGTGGCCCATCCCTCTTCCCAGGCCTCCTACCATTCTCCCAAAGTCCAATTCCCTCGATTTCTGACCTGCCCCCCCAAAGAGGAGGACCTGGGTGGGCGCTCTGACTTGCCCCATCCTCCTCCTAGATCGAGGGCCTGATGGATGATGTGGACTTCAAGGCAAAAGTGACCCGTGCGGAGTTTGAAGAGTTGTGTGCAGATTTATTTGAGCGGGTGCCCGGGCCTGTGCAGCAGGCCCTCCAGAGTGCCGAAATGAATTTGGTGAGGGGGTAGTGAGATGTGGGCGTGGGGTGGGGGGCGTGTGGGATAGAAAGTGGTTAGGTGGCAGGGGGAGGGGGCGGGAGTGTCACCGGATGTGTCGGTGCCGAGGAGGGCTGATGATGTGCCGTTCCATTTCCCATTCTCTGTAGGATGAGGTTGAGCAGGTGATCCTGGTTGGTGGGGCCACTCGGGTCCCCAAAGTTCAGGAGGTGCTGTTGAAGGCTGTGGGCAAGTGAGTGTGGGTGCTGAGGCATTGGGGCCAGGGCTGCGGGGAGGGCGACCAGGCTGGGTGCTCCAGAGTAGACGTGCTGAAGTGCAGGACTTTTGCAGGGAGGAACTGGGGAAGAACATCAACGCAGACGAAGCGGCTGCTATGGGGGCTGTGTACCAGGCAGCCGCGCTCAGTAAAGCCTTCAAGGTGAAGCCGTTTGTAGTGCGAGATGCGGTGATCTACCCCATCCTGGTGAGTAGGCCTGTCTGATCACCTCACCGAGGGTGGTTTCTCTCGTCTGCCGTAGCCTGTACCCTTGTTTTCTGCCAGTCGACGGTCTCCACGTACCTTTACCCCAGAATCTGCTCTGGCTCTCCAGTGTGCTTCCTCTCTGCCTGCTGTGTAGGTGGAGTTCACGAGGGAGGTGGAGGAGGAGCCTGGGGTTCGCAGCCTGAAGCACAATAAGCGTGTTCTCTTCTCCCGAATGGGGCCCTACCCTCAACGCAAAGTCATCACCTTTAACCGCTACAACCGTGACTTTAACTTCCACATCAACTATGGTGACCTGGGCTTCCTGGGGCCCGAGGATCTTCGGTGAGAGGGTGGGGCGAGGTGGGGGCTCCAGAAGGGAGGATCTGGGGCCACGGGGCTGACAGGGGGAAGCGGGCTGTGCGGTCAGGATTGGGGTGAGCATTTTCTCTGGAGGGCCCAACATTTCGTGCTGGGAGGCCTTGTAGTCAAAGGCTGGAGGCTGGCTGGTTGAGTTCCCTGGACTTGCTCTCTCCTCCCTAACCAGGGTATTTGGCTCCCAGAATTTGACCACAGTGAAGCTAAAAGGTGTGGGTGAGAGCTTCAAGAAGTATCCCGACTACGAGTCTAAGGGCATCAAGGCTCACTTCAACCTGGATGAGAGTGGCGTGCTCAGCCTCATCAGGGTGAGAGCAGAATGAGACCGTGGGTACAGGGCAAGGGTCCAGGCCCCACCAGCCTTTGCAGAGCGGTTCCACCTGGTACTAGAACATGATAAGCGAGAAAGGTTTATGGAGGTGGATGAGTCCTGGCTCTAAACACAGCTAACCAGGGACCTGGTGGGTCAGGGCCTATAAAAAGTTACAGATGTTGTAAATTTCAGGATCTGTAGAATGGCCAAGTAATCCGTTCTCAAAGAATGGTTCGGGGCTGGGCGGTTGGGGGGAGGGGGGCGGGCGCCAGGGTTGCTCAGTCAGTTAAGAGTCCAACTCTTGGTTTCAGCTCATGTCTTGATCTCGCGGTTGTGGGTTCAGGCCCTGTGCTGGGCTCCACGCTGGACATGAAGCCTACTTAAAAAAAAAAAAAGTAGTTCTGGGGGTTAACATCTTTTAGAAGGTACTGTGGGAAATCACGGCCCATTCTGTTGTCAAGTGGAGAAGTGCAAGGCCATGAGGGAAAGAAGGAGCTATGACCCAGTCCTCAGGAGGGCTCATAATCGAGGGGGGTAGTGATGACTTGATTCAAGATCCCTTAGAAGAAGGCGGGTGAGGGAATAGGCCAGCACCGCCACGGGTCACGTGGATGTGTGTGAGTAGACACCCACCGTGGCAGGACGTTTGTGGGGACGAGGTGGGTTAGCGTGTGCGTCTCGTCACCTCGAATCCCTGTTTCTAGGTGGAGTCTGTGTTTGAGACATTGGTGGAGGACAGCCCAGAGGAGGAATCTACCTTGACCAGTAAGTTGAGTGTGTGTGTGTGTGTGTGTGTGTGTGCGCGCGCGCGCGTGTGCGTGTATGTGTGAGAGAGGATATACTTGTGTGCCTTTGGGGGAGGCGGGCAGGCCTTGCCCTTGGGCAAGGAGGTAGTGTCACTGCTGTGGCCCCTTTGAGTCTTTGGGTTTTCTTCCTCCTAGAACTTGGCAACACCATCTCCAGCCTGTTTGGAGGTGGTACCACACCAGACACTAAAGAGAATGGTACAGACGCTGTCCAGGTAAGGCCAGCACGGAGCCAGGGGAGCTCGGAGGATGGTGAATGGGGCCCGGTAGTAGCAACAGAGGCAGGGAGGGATTGGGGCAGGCATTCCAGCTGCCTAGGACTGACTAGACCCCCACCCTCCCCGCTTTCCCCGGGCCCTTGCCGAGTGAACCATACCCTCCTCTGGACCCTGAGCTGTCCCTGTGCTCGGGCTCCAGGGCACATTCCCTTCATCTCGAAGCACTGCTCCTCCGACCAGACTGCCTGCCGTAGTCTGCACAGCCTGTTACCGTATGGTCATCTGCCTGTCCCCAGGCTGTGCTGGGAGCAGCAGGCCCCTTCGCAGCAGAGCCTGGGGGATTTGGCGTTGCCGGCTGAGCGATTCATCCATAGGCTCTGCTGGGGACCTCTTGTTTCCCAGGAGGAAGAGGAGAGCCCTGCTGAGGGGAGCAAGGATGAGCCTGGAGAGCAAGCGGAGCTCAAGGAGGAGGCGGAGGCCCCAGCGGAGGACACCTCGCCGCCCCCACCCACGGAGCCGAAGGAGGCTGCGGTTCCTGAGGAAGAAAAGGCCACAGAAAAAGAAAACGAGGAAAAGCCTGAGGCCCAGGTGAGCCGGAGGTGAAGGGAATAGATGCCTGCCTGTGGGGAATAGAAGGACCTGAGCTTCCCCTGACCTCCTCATTTCTTTCCCCCACCAGAAGCCAAGTGAGAAAAAGGAGGCAGGGTCTGAGGCTGCTCCTCCAGCCCCAGAGGAAGAAAAGAAGCAGAAGCCTGCCCGGAAGCAAAGAATGGTAGAGGAGATTGGGGTGGAGCTGGTGGTTCTGGACCTGCCTGACTTGCCCGAGGATGAGCTGGCCCACTCAGTGCAAAAGTGAGTAGAGGTTTGTGCACAGCGCGCGCGCGTGTGTGTGTGTGTGTGTGTGTGTGTGTGTCTGTGTGAGCATGCACGCACAGGGTGGTAAGGGCAGTGGCACCCATGGGAGGGAGAGCCGTCTGCCCCAGGGTCTGAGGTCAACATGCTCTCTCCCTCATGCTTGCTTCTGTCATCCCACAGACTTCAAGACTTGACGTCCCGAGACTTAGAGAAGCAGGAACGGGAAAAGGCTGCCAACAGCTTGGAAGCTTTTATCTTTGAGACCCAGGTTGGTGGGCTGGGAGACACAGCTGCCCCGGGACCTGTGTCTGAGGAGGGTCTGCCTCTGTGAGCCCTGCTCTTGGGGTTCGGTGCATGCTTGGGCCCGTGTGCACCTCTCTAGGACAAACTGTACCAACCCGAGTACCAGGAAGTGTCCACAGAGGAGCAGCGTGAAGAGATCTCTGGGAAACTCGGCGCTGCCTCCGCCTGGCTGGAGGACGAGGGCTTTGGGGCCACCACAGTGGTAAGTGGCTTCCCAGGACGTGGTGGGTGGGATGGGAGCCCTCGCTTTGCTCTTTACAGGCAGAAGGTCAGAGAAGGTGAGGAGAGCTGGGGTGTGAGGCCAGGAGAAAGACGCGGGGTCGGCTCCAGGGTCAGGCTCTCATCCCTTCAACCCCCTCTGCCCACTCCCACCCTGCATCCGTCAGATGCTGAAGGAGAAGCTGACTGAGCTGAGGAAGCTATGCCACGGGTTGTTTTTTCGGGTAGAAGAGCGCAAGAAGTGGCCCGAACGGCTGGCTGCCCTTGATAATCTCCTCAACCATTCCAGCATGTTCCTCAAGTGAGCAGCCCCTTCGATTTTCTTCCTTATTCGGTCCTGCCAAGCCTGGAGGTCCATCAGCTTCCCATGCCCCATGCCCACACCCCAGATCCCTCTTTCCCCTGGGCTCACCGTCTCCTTCCTGGCTTACAGGGGCGCCCGGCTCATCCCAGAGATGGAGCAGATCTTCACTGAGGTGGAGATGACAACGCTGGAGAAAGTCATCAACGAAACCTGGGTAATCCCTGCATGAACACTTACTGGGATGCTCACCTGGCAAGGTGTGCTATGCTGGGCAGAGAGGAGATGCCGAGAAACCGGGGTTCAGCAGCTGCTGCCTCCTGGCCCGGCAGCTAATCGGGAAGGTGGAAGGCATTTACATTTGAGGCCACGTCTGATTAGCCCCAAGCAAGGGTCACGGCCATGAGTTTTGTCAGACTGCAGGAGCAGCAGAGCCCATCCCTATGAGGTTAGAGCAGCTGCTCCAAGCAGCTGGGGCTTGAGCTGCGCTCAGAAGGTGAGCCAGGGAAAACTTGTCACAGGAGGCCGAAACTCTTCCTTTTGGGTGTGTGGAGAGTGATATTGAGCCAGAGCTCAGAAGTGGAGAGACCAGGGAATAATCAAGAGCTTCAGCTGTAGTTGGTCCCTAGTATTGTAAGCCACAGACATGGCTATGAGTTTGGGACTCCTTTGTGGGGAGCCTCAGATGCCATTCTGAAGAGTCTGCTTACCATCGTGGGGCTGACAGCCAGGAGTAGTAGAGTGGTTTGCCATCTGAGGGAAGAGCCTGGGGCCGGTCTGGGGTGTATTTCATCCGGGCCAGAGATAACCTACCCTCTCCAGGGCTAGCTCTGAGCCTGTCCTGGGCTCACCCACAGGCCTGGAAGAATGCGACCATGGCCGAGCAGGCCAAGCTTCCCGCCACAGAGAAACCCGTGTTGCTCTCAAAAGACATCGAGGCCAAGATGATGGCCCTGGACCGTGAGGTGCAGTATCTGCTCAACAAGGCCAAGTTTACCAAGCCCCGGCCCCGACCCAAGGACAAGAATGCAACCCGGGCAGAGCCTCCCCTCAATGCCAGTGCCAGTGACCAAGCAGAGAAGGTCATCCTTCCACCAGGTGAGGGCAGGGTGCCTGGCTCCAGGTGCCACTGGGCAGGAAGAAGGCCTCCTTTCCCTCCTGGGACTACATTTTACCCCTGGTTTTCCTCCAGGCCAGACTGAAGATGCAAAGCCCATTTCAGAACCTGAGAAAGAGACTGGTGAGTTGAAGAAAGTGATTGGGAATATGGATATTGCTAAGCCTAGGGGTCGGCAGACTTGCAGGCACAGCCTGTTTCTAGAAGGTCCACAAGCTGTGAACAGTCCTTACGTTTTTAGGTTCTTACATATCCACACAAGCATGTCTGTGCAAAGAAGCCGGGTGTAGCCCACAACCCCTAAAACATTCACCATCTGTCTTTTTATAGAAAAAGTTTGCCAACCCTTTCATTAGTCCCTTCCTCCCTTCTGTAGAGGCTAACCTCTTCCTCCCAAAAGCAGGATCTGAACAGGCAGACACCGAACCTCTGGAGTTAGAAGGTCCTGGAGCAGGTGAGCATGGGGCTGGGGGCACCCTGGAAGCCTAGTAGGGCCCAGCGGGGAGGATCTGCCCAGAACGGGGCCAGTTACCTTCGTCTCACCTGCTGGCATTCCTTCGCTCTTCCCCACTCCCAGCAGAACCGGAACAGAAGGAGCAGCCGACAGGACAGAAGCGGACTTTGAAGAATGATGAATTATAACCAACCCCCCAGCTCCCCCTTTCACCCCTCCCCCTTCTCCTACCTCCTCTATTTATTAAACATCGAGGGTCGGGGGAGGGGTTGCTCCTGCCTTCAGAGGCTTCGGTTCCTTTTCTCTCACCTTGATTGGAGGTGTGGAGAAGGGGGAGGAAGGGACAGCTCACCAGTTCCTTCGGCAGTGGTTCTGTGGTAAAAACTGAAATTGTTTTATTTCCCAGTCCCACCCCTGGTTCCTTACCCATCCAGGCCCTCATTTGGGGAAAATCACTATTATGTCTTAATTCTTTGCCTGTGGGTAGGTGAGAGATTGGCTGTTGATGGGGTCGATGGACCTGGCAGGTGGGAGAGGGATGCCCTGGGCTATTAGAGAGTCTCCAGTCTTCTCTGTCCTCCTCCCTGCTTCCCTCTTCCACTACCAAGTCCGCCCCTACAGGGGCCAGTGTCTACAGAGCCTTGGTTACCAGGTCTGGTTTCTGAGTGCCTATCTATGCTCTTTCCTCCTCCAAGGTCTTGTCTTTCCCTAAAAGGCCCCATCCCCGGTAACGACTCTTCCCCTGGTTTCCTTGGCTTCCGGTTGTGAGTAAGGCAGCTGTCTGCCTCTTGCCCCAGCCTTTCCATCTGGACTGGCTGCAGTAAAGCTAGATCCATCCCCACCCGCGGTGGCCAGAGTAGGCAGCAAGAACGTGAAGAAGGGAAGCCAGCCGCCTCTGTGGGAGAGACGTCTGAAAACCCGGGAGCTCCCACTTATGGCCTCTCAGACACAGGAAAGCGTGTGGAGTGGCCAGCGTGGGATGCCAGCATCCTGCGAGCCCTGTCAGAGTCTGCATCTTCCGTGTCCCTGTGACTCCTGGCCCTCTCTGCTCTCCTGTCTTCTGCCCTCCTAGATATGGCCTTTCCCTGGTCCCTTGGCCCCCTGGGCTGACCAAAATGTGCTTTCTACTGTGAGCCCCTATCCCAAGACCCTGGGAGAAGGAGAGACCATGGCGTGAATGTAAAAATGCCACCTCGCCTTCTTTGAGGCAGGCCATGTGGGTGAAGGAAGAGGGTGTGGGCTGGCCTGCCTTTCTTGCATTGCTCTGCCAAGATGGAGGCTCTTTACCCATCATGCCGATGTTGGGGAGCCTGTCCTCCAGTATTCGTCTGGAGCAGGAGCCACAGCGCCACCCAGCTCCCAGGGCAAGGGGGAACCTGGTTGTGTCTGTCCTTTGTCTTTTTTCCTTTTTTTTTTTTTTTTTTTTTTTTTTTTTTTTTTTTT